AACGACGCTGTGCTACCGCTGTCGGATAAAAGTAGGTACTTTTTCATACAGTTGCCAGCTTGTCCGGCGGATGGCCACCTGACTTAGCCGTTCCTCCTATGCCCTTCTCTTGAAGTTACTTCAAGTAGGTAGCTTATGCTTCAGGTACACCAGTTCCAGGACCCCTACATATCACCTTTCTTTAAGCCAATGACGAGGCTAACGTCCCTCTAGCGTCTTTCTCCTACGTTTTTCTTTTCTGTTCTCTTTCCCTTTTTTTCGTTGTGCCATTGCATGGAAGTAGCGGTGTTTCATCCAACCCTTCGTCATCCTCCCACTGGCCAAAGGGCGCGTTGGTAAAGCAGTTTAATCAAAAGGTTGAATTCAGATGTACGGCGCCCGGCGGACCACTTACCTGCCAGCGCTTACAACCAAGCTTCGACTCGAGCTTTTGCACAAAGATCCTTCTCATGCAGGCACCCCGCTTTCCCTTTTTCCCAACTTCGCTATCATCGGACCAATGCACCCCTAGCGGCATCCCTATGCTCCACTTGACTCACTACGTCACAACCTTAAGCTTATGTTGCCTAAAGCGTTTCCCTCCATCTCGCATACAGCCGCTGTTTTTGCACGATGCAAGACCATTTCTCAGCTACTGACCTCTCCCCTACTCGGCACGAATACTACGCCGGCCGTCCGCGGCGAGTTCAGTTCTTCGTCTTGATCGTCGGCTGTCTGACCTATCTGCCCTGAGGGACACCCCCCAAGGAATCCCTCACGGGGCAGCGTTTTGGCCACTGCCGGCCCACAGGCCGACCTGTGTTCAACTACTCGATTTCTCCTCATTTCCAAGCTCGTCCGTTAAATGACAAAGGGACTAGGTCAGATCCGAGGCAGTTGTACTCGATGAACCATAATAAGACTGAAGTACCAGAGAAATGGCGCAAAAGCGAAAGACAGAGAGAGCAAAGCGCGCTTATAGATCGTGTTGGTCATAAACATTGGCCAACGCATAGGTCTACAGGGATAGCCATTCCATAGAGCACTGTATCAGCAGAATGCTCACCGCGCGTTTCGTCATTGGAGTTCCTGATTTTGGTCAACATGCTACGATGCGAATCGGCATCCATTCGTGCGAAAGATACACAGGCCAGCCTGAGCTGTTTGTACACGAATAGAGGGAATGGATATTGGGATCTAAGCTGCATTTGGAAATCTACCTTTGTTTTGCGATTGCAGTTACTGTACCCATTTCACCGTTGACGCGTAGCAAGCGCCTTTCCTGCTTCCCTAAAGGCTGTCAGCCCGTACGAATGTTTGTAATCAAGATCGCTAGTTGGAGTAAAAAATAGTCTTCTCCTTTGCACAGTTCACGATAACGAAGATGCCCTTCAAGCGTATGTGAGTTCTCAGACAGGAGAGATATATTTTCAACGCGTGCAGTGTAGGATCGGAAGGTCAGGTGTGTCAAAAGCGGAAGGGAGTGTTGCGAAGAATGTTATAGAAAAGCAACTGGGCTATAGTGGGAACTCACATTAGAGATTGGTCTTCTTAGGTCTGCTATAAAATTGAATCAGCAATAACAAGCTTAAGGTAATCCACTCCCCATGTGCTCCCCGTGTGATATATTCATCGGTTTCCCTCACGTTAAAAGCTGTTCAACTTATCAAACCTTGCTAAATTAGTGTCGGAATCTATAGATGCAGCAATAGAGTTGATCATACTCGCGCTTGCATAAACTGGCCAGGTTTGTTTAAAATAGTTTTAAGGTGAGAAAGTTGCCGAGTTTAAGATCCACTTTGACAATGATTCCAAAAGAACGGCGAAAGCGCTATAGGTATAAGGCCAGGATGTAAAATTGGCCTGCGATAGACATCTTCTTTAAGTGTGTATAGCGGCTATCGATCACAAATAGAACAGTCGTTTTGTTAACTTTACTCGTCTATATCAATTGTAAGTTTAATGACCATACTCACGGTGATGAAAACATCGCTTCATCGACAGACGATGGATTTCCGATTGCTGTCTTAAGTAACAAATTTCTGTAGAGGAGTCAAACTCCGTTCACGGGTCATATAGTTTTTCGGCTTATAATAATGTATGTCTTAGAACATTCTGTGCAAGGGATTCAAGATATATATTAACTAAGTTGTATCCTATGTACGGATGCTTAAAGACATGTTCTTCTATATATATAGTGGTTGGTCCCCAAATAAAATAGCAGCAAGGAACGCCAGATAGGAAAAGCTGACGGCCAAGCCCGCTGCAAAGTAACCTGAGAGTCTATCTCGAGGGACCTCTAAATCCAGGCTGGTGCCTAGTGCGCCGCCGACTCAGCGCCTATCTCGGCCAAAAAAAGGAAAAAGCAACTCAATTTCTAACGCTTCCATATCATTGCAAAATGGCCGGCCTTTACCAGTAGAGTGACGCCATACAAAAGGTCACTTTATGGCAGTGTCCGATTTGTTCCTCTGGGGTTTGGTGAAGAGCTGCTGGTAAAGAGCTCTGTTGCTTACGTTTCGATTAAATGAATAACTAGCATGTTAAATAGAACTTCGGATAAAAGCAATATACCACAAAAGCTAAAGGCGATCAATACCACTGTTAGATAGAGGAGATACAGAATAGCTACTATCTTGCATAAAAATCTTCTTAGTGAGAGGCGACACGACGTTACATTATATCTGCGACAAACACCTTAGATTCCAAAAATTAACTTCGATTACTCATTTTCGTTTTTAAATTGTTTCGAAAAATCGACGCAGCTACCCAAATACCGTCTGACACCTTTATTATAAACTCTTTAAAATAACCTCATATCAAAACAGATCTAACGGCCCAGTCTTAGCTATTAGCTTAATGCCTAGACAGTGGCCATTTTTGTTTATTACTTTAATTTTCCGCTTGTTGAATGAATAACGGTCGTATTTAACTTTAAAAAGAGCTTTTTTTTTTTTGTTGATATCGCTTTGTTCTAGTCACAGAATGCTACCCTCGGTTCGAATACTAAAGATCAGTCGGGTGGCAAAAACGGCAATTTCCGTAGTACTTATTTATTTTTCACAGAATCGCCGAGTGAACTAAAATAAACGAAGTGTGTGTCACGTGGACGACGAAGATTCGCTAACAGAGAGTACTATTCAAAAACGGATTTGCGGACTCCAAGATGGCATCCTCGATCCAACAAACGCACTATATTTCACTTCTCGAGTTCGACGAAAATCTTCTTAAGCCACTCTCGACGAAGAATAATTGCCAGATGAACCTATACCTTTCAGCTAGGGAATCCCTATCAGGACGCGGAACGAATATCCTAAATTCTTTTTTATCGTCTTTTAGCTATCGACCCCTTTCTCACTTGGCGTAGCCGACTTTGAATCCCGAAATCGGAATACAATCCAATAGTTCGAGCAAAATGGTGGAAGCCGAATGCTGAAAGGCATTGCCTTATCCTACAACGGGCATAACGTAGAATATAACGTAGAAATGTCGACCACCAGTGAACAAAAATTTAGAACAGTAAGATAAACAGAAGTTACCCATGTACACGCCAAGTACATGTATATGATAGGGAGGCACGCTCAAAGGAACGTACTATTTCACGTCTCTGCAGTACAAGCAAACAGCGCACGCTACAAAATGATTTTGAGTTCGGATGCGTAATTTGCAACCATGGATAAAGCTAGGCCAGATTCAGATTAGGCAAAACAGATACAACAATTAAGTAAATATTAAGTGCCATGCTTTACTATGTGTATATGTAGAAACTGTAGTAAAACGGCTAGCTACTTTCGTTTCAAAATAGAATTTGAGTCGAACAGAAAAAATACTGCTTTCAGACAATCGATATCACCAAACAGTAACGACATTAGGGTTCTAGCAAAAGGGGGGCCTTTGAACTGAGACAACAGTTGGACACCTGTGGAGAAGCTGTTTCTAAAACTGGACCCTTTTCCAAAACAAGGTAAGCTTGCAAACGTAATAGTCTTATTACGGACGTAATTGGCTGTACATGAAAGCGCGTCAAGAAGAGATTAGAAATAGGGTTCGTGAATACTGATCAAGAAAGGTTATGAGTGATAGAGTTAAAGCCGAGAATTGTCACAAACGCAAAGTCTATTGAGCTGAAATAGGTCTGACGTATCGTGCAAATTGAGAAGAACGTGCCTATACTACTAGAAAACTGGCAAATACGCTAATAATGATTGACTGCAATACAATGAGGACAGCATGCAGATAGCGCACAACGCTCGCGGTGCTAGCTGACTATACGGGCACATCACAGATTGTTGAAGAAGGGCTTGGATTGCCTAAGCAAGAAACGAGAATCAAAGCGATAGGCATACCGTGAAAAGTCGGTAAAAAAAAGACGGAGAGAACTGCTCTATTAAAGGCGGGTAAATTTGCAGGAGTGGACGATAAAGGTTAGGGCAGGATAAACTAGAAGCGTTATCATTAAATGGGTCGTAGATAGCAGTGACAGCTAATAAAAAACCTAATGAGAAATCCCGCTTAGATCTGGCAGCTTGTGAAAACTATATCTATATAGAGACTATGCCGTGTGGTAACGGAGACTGACCGTCTATTAATAGTATAAAAATGGACTAAGCTGAATTTGTTATCGGTAGAGTGGCGCCATAATTGTGAACACTGGATTGGTACGGTAAATGACTGCGATAAAAATTACTACGTAGAAGGACGGAATAATAACGGCAATAAAACTATCAATCGTAAAGAAGAAGTTAGCAGAGAGTGTATTGGAGACGATGCGGTATAAACGCATCCCTGATATAGAAACAATGCTGCAAACAAAAGGCTACACGTATTTTTTTCGTACGTAGAAAGGATACATTCGACTATATAACTGTTGACCGTCACGAAACCGAGTCGTTTTCAATACGAACACATTTTTTTTTTTCTCAAATAGAGATATAATTACAAATTGATCGAACTCATAGCAGAAGCTGGCCATCATTCTTTGTGTGACAACTGATAATTTATTAACACGAGTATATTTCTGCTTATAAACTGGGTTATTCGGTCAAGTCCGCTGACTACACACTGTTCATAGAAAGGATCCGGTATCTATTATTAATCGCATGTAGACAGCATACAAACAAACGAAATCAACAACTGCCGACTCTGCCTCTATGTCAACAAACTCACCAACGCGACAAATACATCTTTCATATTACTGTTACGTGACAAGACAAATTGTAGTTGTTATTCCCTGCGATCCATATACGTAGAATGTCAAAACACAGTCATCCCTTATATCATATATACATGATCCTATTAGGTCTATATCGATAGAAAAGCAAGCAGTATTAAGAAATAAAAATCCTACATACATACATATACAAAAAATTGTTTGGGAACTTTTTAATTTTCTGAGCCTAATCGAACGTTTTCGTACGTCTCTATATGTTCACATACTTCAACGTAGCTTTCTCGTGAATAGTTATGTACATACAAGGGTGGTCGTGGTAATCCTCGAGTCATATCCTAGATTTGCCCTTGCTACATATAAGGGCTAAACCCTTTTTATGTAATAAATTTAAAAATTCGCTTGCATGTGGGCTCCCGATAACCATATGCGTCTCATGTGAACTCAGTACGGACTGTGATGACCAGCGCGCACCTCAGTCAAATAACGTCGTAAAATATTTCGCATTTTACGTACGTTCTAGGTTATACGAGGTCGTTCGTCAACTTTTTTCACGTTGGATCACGCTGACGAAAAGTCGGGTCCGAACAATAATGTTTAATTTCCCGTTGCAGTTTTCTCATTTGTTATAAGCAACATGCAGACTCCATATACAATCGATCGCCTTAACATGAAGGTTACACATGTAAATTACACAGACCTGATTCGAAGCTAAAGAAAGTGGGATTACAGTACAACTACATTGATATTCTCTACTTGTGCGGGGGTAACGCAAGTTCTCTACAAAGTAAAATTAAGTACTTGATTTGCGCTTAATTAGTTTCGTAGCCATATCTGTGATCAACAGTAATCATTATATATCCGTCAACGAGGAAGATCAGAAAGACAACTGCTGTCTAACTCATTGCTCCCTGACGAATCAGATTTACTAGTGAGCTCTGCCCAGCCACCCAGCAAACAGGTTACACCAGACATACGCGGGTGACGATGCGGGTGGTCCCTAAAGTTGTGTATAAATGAGAAGAATCATGATGCTCGCATAATAAAACAGAAGGCAGATGCCGCTGGTCATGTTCGAATGGCACCTCGACACTGCGGCGAATAGCGCTAAAAGAACTGGGCAAAGGGCAACAGCACCCATAAGCACAGTGGTGACGGTTGAACGCGTCAATGGGCAAAGCCATACGCCCCGATATGCCAGCTGCATCGAAAACGCCAGCGAAATGTTGAAGATTAACGCCAACATAGCCGACGAAATGCATCCGGTGAGGGCCATCCGAAGGCAACCCCGATTTACCACAGCGATGTACGTCGAAATGTCACCGACGAAATTGCCATACGTAAGAATCGAAAGACCCATTACCTCATCAGTGAGTCGGGTGCACAATCCCATAGCGCGGACAACGGCCACCACTTCAGCTGTAAGCCGGTGCAGAAAGCACAGACTGAGAATAAAGCCTGCGAACGTGGTCAGTGTCTCGATGACTTGTCGAGGCACTATGCAACACATTATCCGATAGATAAGAAAGGCAAGAAGGCCGAGCATAGCGAACAGCGCGGTGTCGTTAGCAGACGCTAGGCCGGATGCGGTAACGAGCAGCCATGGGTAGAGAACGAATCGTGGCTGATTCCAGTCGAAGCTGACGAACATTCTACAATCGGAGAGGGAGGAACTGTCGAACGAAGACGACGTCGAAGATGCAGCCGAATCAGAAGAGGTAAGACTTATTAGACTGACTGCTAAGTCGTATTCCATCTCAGGTACGGTAGGCACGAGAACGCTGAATGGCAGCTGGAAACAGTACGCTAACGCCTCAAAAGTTGCTCCCAGACAGGCGAACATGGTAATCCAGAACGAACAGAATAAACTTCGTTTTGGTTTAGCTTGTTTCTCATGTTTGCAGCAGTCGATAGGAATGTAAAGTACCTGCAATACATATGATGTAATAACTGTATATCTGATATTGAGTAGATTTCATTAACAACGACTCGCTGAGTTGTCTTTAGCAAGTAAATGTATAGAATTAAGAGACGATGCAACATGTAAATGAGATGAAGTTTGCCGCATGTCACACACAATATCGGCGATATGGTTTAAAGAAATTTTTTTCGTCTCAAATAACACATATACATGATATAATTTAAGGGCCGCGTCCGTTCTCTGCAAACATGGCTTATATTTTACATTGAGATATACGTCAAATTATTTAGCAACGTTTAACAAACGAATCGTTAGGGTTGTATTCATAATATAGGAATATTTTCCTTATATGGGAATTGATGTTAAAGCTCACATTTCTTGTTTTAAGGACCTCAGACTTAGCAGAGCGAGCCAGTCCTAAATCCTGGCTACCTACATGCGTCACCTAAATTGCGCCAAGGCAAAGGAATATAAGATTGAATCGGAGCTCAAGAGTATTGTTCAGAGCGAACTAAGGAAAGCAAATCTTGTCACCTTAATTTTATCTCATAGTCCCATTTCATTTTTTCCCCCTTCTCACTAATGCGTACAACCGTGCATCGAACAATATTGGTAGACGTACATTCGTCGAAGTGTCGTGCAAAACGTTCGAACAGAATTAGAGTTTCAGTTGGTAGCAGCCTAAAAGCCGCCAAAATGCAAGAAGGGCTCAAGAAGTCCAAAACATGCAAGAAAGAAGCAGAACATCTTAAAAAAAAAAGCTATTCGTTGGAACTTGCCTGGATTATTTAATGAGCAGCTCATAGTCCGTTAATTTTTGTATAAAAGATCTGTTTACCAACAATGGCTTTTTAAGCCATTTTAATAAGTTTTGGAATCTTTGAAATCTTAACTTTATTGAGGATCTTAGATTTGCTTCATGCAAATCATGCCAGGATCTTTGAAAGAGCGTGTAAAAACTGGTCATAATGTAGAATGTTGATTTTCTAGCAAAAAAAAGAAGCTTTTATTTTTGATTAAGCTTTATCTCGCGTGGAAAGATTGCTTAATGGCTGATATTTGCTTAAATTAGGAAGATGACACGCTGCTTTCCGTCATACTGAGTCTGTCTTATTTTGTTCTAGAGAGAACTAACAGTTCTCTGGTGCCAAAACCTGTAGTTGAGTGTTAAAACAAACAACCCAATAAAGTTTATCTGAATTCGATTGCCTCACTCTATATATATATAGTCTATAATAAATCTCTCTACTTACATTGTTCGTTGCTAAAAAAGGAGTCTTCTCGTTTACCTGGAATAAAGTAAGACGTTACAACATGCACAGATGAAAATGCATATATATGGTCCAGACGAACCGTGGATGTCTGTGTATGTATATGTGCTTGTATGCTCGTTCTTGTCTTGCCAATAATACATTATACTAGCTTACCTTAATTTATTACCGCACGGGTTGTATTTGATAATTTTCTGCATAATCTATGCATATAGCACTGATAATAGAGTGGAACGTCATATAGTATAGTGCACGAGCCAAGACAGCTATCATTTTAACGTATAATGAAGAAACATAAATGGTCCCCCACATAATTCCTCAGCCATAATTCCCAATGATGGCAGCTGAAAGTTGTCGTATGTCCATCCAAAAGTGCTTCGCTAGTTATCTATCTGCGAGGCCATAGGCCTGACGAAGTACGATACAAGCATCCTACTCTGTTCACGCCTCCTCATTCGTTATACGCGACCAACGGTATAAGCTATTATATGGTCCTAGGGCGTAACCTGATGACTGCTGTCGCGTCTAATTTAGGACAATAGCTGTCACCGGCCAACACAAATTCGCACATTATTAAAAAGAGAAATCAGCCATTAATGCGTGGTGAAATGAAAAATCGAACAAGATGGATGACAGATTATATACATATTTATAATAATAACCTAAATTGGAATTTTTACTTATGCTCCGTCTCTATGTAAACATAGATATTTTAATGACATTTTTACATGTACAACAAATGTCAATCCTGACGGTTATAATTAATTATTCACGGAAATTCCATCCACAAATACATATTTAAAAGTTGACGAGCGACAAGCGATATTCGTACCGTTAAAGTGCCGGGCAATTTCGCTGCGTACAAATAAATCCAACGGAACGACATTGTAGGCTGGCAGACCAAAAATTCAAGTAAAAAATGCAAGGGCTCAGAGCGGTAAAAAAAAGTCTAAAAGGCGCCAAAAGTCTCCAAAACACTAAGCATTGAAGGTACTCAGATGATCCAATTCAAAACGGCCGTTAATTTCTGTCCCAAAAACCAGGTGTATAAAAAAATTGATTTTTGAGTTTTTTTTTGATGAATTTTTGAGCTCTCCATGTCTAAGCTTTATTGAAGCTTTTCCGGTCTGTCCGAACCAAATCTTCTTTGCATCTCTCAGAAGCCACATGTGAAGTTGAACTACCTTAAATCGTCGACTAGGGGCAAAAAGATAGTTTTGTTTTCCATTCATTCAAATAAATCATCAAAAAAGAAAAAGGAAAATAATTCAATAATAATAACAGTTTATTTTTGTTCAAACTGCGAAAACGGAGCGTCATATTCCACCATATTGAGCTCGCTGCCCTCTATTTCTATTCTAGAAAAAACAGGCTTTTTCCAATACCAAGTCTGGTGGGCAAATGGATGCCCATTACGACAAGAAACCCGCCAAAGCTTGTCGGCTTTTACGTTCACAGATGTGCGTAACACAACTTGTGTGAAATATATATACATATAGGAAAATTTTTTCAACTGTTTGCATACTCTTGTTTCACTCCGTATATGTGAAATCTACAACGGGTTACAAATACACTTTACACATACACATATTTCTTCAAGTAGCTCTTCACGTTCTTGTTCCTCGCAAAGTATTCGTAAGATTCCAAGATTAATTTAAGATTTTTTAACGTACACATCCCATTTTTTATATAATAAGCAATATAGCTCAAAGAGTAACTGTTTTTTTAAAATAGAATCATCGATTATTTAATATGTGACCCGCTTAACCGTATAGATTCTATAAAGCAAAAAACTTACGTTGACCGAGTTACTCAATATTAACGCCAGTGATTCTTTTTTTGACGGAATACTGAAGATATACGCATAGTATGCAACATAGATGGTCGCGCCAATGGCGATGTGCGTCCCGGTCACGGAACCCGTCACGTAAATATGGCCAACGTAAAGAACGGCTAGGGCGAAGAAGAATAGCAATCCACCGAATCCGCGACCAAGTGGTGCACGCCCACCAACCGTGTATAGAGTTCCTATGATAACGCCAACAACGAACAAAGTCCCGCCTAGGACCTCGCCAACAACAAGGCCCTCGTGTCCCATATTGACAGCTGCCATTGCACCCATAATATCCGGTATACCATTTCCAAGGGTCAGGAGTGTAGCACCTGCCTTGGCTTCGTCGAGTTGAAATCGATTTTTGAGCAAGACCAATGCGGGTGAGACGAAACCACCAGCCAAAGCGCACACTAATCCACCACACAACAAGAATAGACCGATCAATGGTAAGAGTGGAGGCACAGGCAAAGCTTGCCAACGACAGTAAAGTAGTTCGACGTAGTCGAGAAGAGCTTCCCCGCTACGACAATCAGCAACCGTAAGTGCGAATGTACAACGGTCGGATGCTGGTACCTCCCAAACGTCAGAACACCGTGATCCACTGCTATTCAACGTGCCTGCTCGCTCCGGACCGAACAGCCACGTAACGTCTTCCGTCATGGTAAAGATCCTGGTGACAAACACGGCTTGACTTATTAGCACTTCTGCTTTTTATATACGTGAATAATTAGCTAATTTTCTCCTTGGGATTTGCCTAAACCGAATAATCTATTGCTTTTTTTTACTTCCGGCACTTTGATTTTGTTCCTGTCTATTCGTGGCGGCCACCGTTGAAGATTCGCTGGAGTCCGCCTAGTCCAGACGAACACCTCAAGTTAACTTCTCTTCGAACAATAACACCCGGTCTATCGCCGACCACATGGTGGTTTTGTCCGACGACGCAAAGAAATTGCACCAAAACAAAGATGACGTACACGTCCAGCAGACGGCATTTCTACTGTGTCACAGGTGAACCGAGCGCCAACATGCACTTATTCCTATAGCCTACCCGAATCACCAGCGTTGAACATGTGGAAGCGAACTACGTTCCGCATGTGCACGAAGTCTCATATGTCCGTAATGGACTGCGACCTGGCCTCGTAGTACCTTGTTTTGAAAAATCCGACATTTTGCAAATAGATTGTTAATTATCGATAGGAAATGCTTATGGGAATTCATGTCTCAAATGTTAGCAAAATAGTGCTCGAAATATCCGAGGAAAATTCTGATGTCAGATAAAAGAACACATGCTATTATATTATAGGCAAAAATAAACAATCATATACGTATTTTTCAATGTATTCGATAGAAAATCTTTCTTTTAATCATGAAAAGAATATACGTTTATTTACTCATTAGTCCGTCGTCAGAAAATACCTTTTCCAATATGTCTTCGTTTGTTTCGTCACGCAAGCATGAACTGCTACGTCGCGTTTATGTCTGTATGTGGCGCAACTTCGATTGTAGGTCCCTGTTGTCGTAAGCACTTATTTAGGTAACAGCTCGATAGACATATTCCTTTTATGGATTCCATAGCTCAAAACAAGTTAATGCATTTGACCAGGCTGATTCATAGCAATCAATATTCAGATAGTTTAAGTATGAAAAAAAATCGATAATATGAATGAAACCTAATGAAAGATATGTTCGCAATCGTCATAGCCATGGCTTTATGAGAGAGGTTGTAGCAACACGTTGAGCTAGGGAAATTTTCTGAAAATATGAAGGTTTACTGAAGAAATTTGTTTAGACAACTTTCTTCAGTAAACCTATTTTTTTTTTTTAATTTAAGTTCGAATTAGACTTATATCATATCTAGATACCAGTTTTCTTTACACGTTTCTCATGAAAATACGAACGTCCTTTATCCTATTGCAATTGGCAGTGCTCTGTATCGTAGCGCTTTCGTGCATCCAACAAATTTGTATTATCACCAGTTTTATGTCGATGTAATTCATCTAGTTCGATGCGCACACATTATTTATATTACATTACACATTAAATAGGCTGTCCCACTTCACTGTTCATGGGCATTTAATACAATATAACACTTATTCTTCCTTTGCCAGGTTCATCCTGTATGCATAGTGAACTCGCCCGATGTTCTGCAAATATCCGCCTGTTAAGTGAGTTGTTTGTTTTCTATCTTCCACGGAACACCCAAGATGGAACTTCAAGAATAAAACGTATACACTCTATAGTGTGCACAGCAATCTCGTAATCTCCCCTGGCAATTCGACGGCACGCCTTATTCCACCAGGCTCGAGCCGTAACGATCGGCCGCGGCGACCGCCACCGCTAAACGCAAGTGCCGATACTAACTTGCCCCTGTCCCCTAGCTCTAGCTTGCCCTAAACTCAACTTTCACTCGTTTCTATCTACGCCTGTTACTTCTCTTTCGTGCTGCAACGCTATTCAGCTTTCATTTTCTTTGCCATCGCTACGCCCGTATTCCCTCGCACTCACATCCCTGTTCCAAACCCATTCCTTGGTTCGAATTGCGCGTCCACTCTATTTGAACTGCTATCTTTCTTTCTTGCTTACTCCATTTTAGCCTTTGGCCTGACGCTTGCCCAAAATGCAAAAGAGGCTTCGGCTTCCTGCCCAACACAGCGGCTTTCAATGGCAAAGCTCAGAGAGAACCGAAGGAACTAGCCAGACTGCGGGCTAGCAGCAAGCCCACCAAGAGAGCAACGGTGTTAGACAAAATTAGGAACCGGGTAGTTGGTGCCTGCTTCTCTGTTCCGGTACTGCTGCTACATTCTTTCTTTATTTTTCAAGTGTGCAACGCTAATTTACTTTGCAAGGTGGCACAGAGCAGGGGTGCGTAGAAGGAAGTGAAAAGCAAGAAAGGCCTCCGAAGGGCGGGGGGCACTAGGTATGTAAACATTGGGGAAAACGCAGAGAAAAGCGGCGGACCACGCTGTGGGTTGAGGCGCGAAGGAAGGTTTTAGCAAACGAAATACATTGGCGATTGTCTGCGGATAGCAGCGGGCGAAATCAGGTGCGTGGCTATGTCCCGTTTGGGATCACACATAAGGAAGACACGGAAAGCCGTAAGCAAGAATTTATAGGTCGTCTAATTGCGAAATTAATAGATATATTCTTTTCTTTTTTAAGCCGTGAAGAACTACTAATGGATGAAATTAAGAATGAGTCGTTAATACTGCTTGACCTCTACGACAAAGAACGCAAGAGAAATGAAAAGGCAAATGATGTCCGAATTTCACTTAACCAGCTTTTCATTTATCATTACCTATTGTATTATTATAATATACCTATTGTTATTATATAATAAGTTGTTTTTATCTGTTTCGCAGATTATACCTACTAAAAAGCACAGCGATAGTAATAAAGGTACCATTGTAATCTCTATTGCGCTACACTCAAACTTGTCTACAATCGTCACGTATGAGCACTGCGCGTGACATGAACAAACTTTGAAAAAAAATGAATGAAATATTCTTTAAGGAGTAACCTATGCCATTAAAAATCGAAGGTGAGTAAGTGGCTCGCCTGAGAAAGATTTCATAGCTAGTTCAAATAATCTGCCGCACAACAGCGTGGATAAATTATGGAACTCATAACATTGTACAAGATTAGCAAGGAAGCGTCAACATAGCGTCATACTGCCCAGATCTATGCATTATTTATCAAACAGCAGAGAATGTCTAACCAGCTCGCAGCTGTAGTGCTATATAACTTTGTTTCGCTTAATAGATTCTATCAACTTTCAAGGAGGTATGACCTTGAAAATTGTAACAGGGGTCTATAGAGTCTCGAGTATCTTTTTTCAGCTGCTTTTGCAGAGCCCGTTGTAGTCTAATACTGATGATAATTAAGTCAAAAACACCTTTGTTCAAGGGAATTATCTGTGGTGCATATAACACAGTTAGTTAAAAGAACCTCCACGAGAACGATCTCCATGAAAATAAATAATAAATTCGATCTGCTCGGACCGCTTATTGGTATTATATGTTTGTGCGGAGCTTAAATAGTTACAGGAAAGGTGCTATCGCGAGAACTGTTACATCTATGTACCAGTCGTTTGTCAAATTTGTTTATTCTTTCGTGAAGGGGCAAATATTTCTATGTAAGGAAGACGACAACACCTAAAAACAGTATGGAAGCTGGGAAAAAAAAACTCTATAATAATAGCGCAACGTCAATATCTAAGCACTTCACAATAAATCTCCTGACAGTGTTACGTATTCTAGAGATAGACCGAGCATTTCCAATCGTGCGACTAAAAAAGCCAATCTTAGCGTTAGTAGGACACCGACATAGTGAAACGATTAAACGATGGGCACTACATTTCTTTCCAGTGTGTATATGCTTTCGTCGTAGTACACGACGACACACAGACCTGCATGTTGCTTTTATTGTATATTATTTATGCTGTTTACAACGTGTATATGTATGTATATATACACGTCCCGTTTATTTGAAACTGATGTACGAATCTTCAAGCAATTTAGAGAGCAACCAGTTACAAGCAGTCTATGTCCTGGAACGACTTCCCGCAAATCCAGAACGAAAATTTCGTGAAATATGGGCTAAGTGCATGAAGAACTTCAACCGCGCAAACGGTTGTCTTTCGTGCCTTACGTCTGGTCGTTGGATATTAATTACTTCACGGGAAAACGATGCAATTCTATACCCGTATTCGAACCTAAACTATTTCTCTACATTTATCATGCAAACACTTGACCCACTGCGCTATCAAGAAGGCTATTAAAAAGTGCAGGCTATTAAAATTAGATTAGATTGGACCTTCCTTTTAAAATTGACTTCAATTCAAGCTTTAGTTTTACCATTAGCTCATCATTCTTACGTTTTATGGTTAAGGATGCAGCTGATTCTGCCAAAGGGACCTAAATAATTAAAATATTCGCATTTAAATGGTTATTTCTGATTTTACTTGGTCCCTGACCGTGCACCATAGTTATGAATTGGGTCGCAATGAATTTTGTTTTTACAAGGCCATACTGTCTTGTCTTCTAGATTACAACTCATGAAATGGGCTCACAAGTGGCCTGCAATATATCTTTCAACGAATTACTTTTTTCTCTTCCCAAATAAAAATGTTATCATGGATATCTTAAATAAGGCAGGGATAATGTTTTTCACTGACTGGGTATTCTCAAGTTTTCCTGGGTATGTCGCTGAGAGACGAACTAGGGTATCAGGTTGTGCATGTATTCTGCTAACAAAACATGCAATATACATGCTGTCAGTATAAGAAGATATTCCAAGGTATTTCCGTCAGTGGAGGTAAATCGAGTTGTCACAAACATTTTTCTAATTCGTTATGACGTGTCGTCTAGACTTTTTGTAGTTAGTAGGTAGCTTTAAAAAATGAAACCTTTTCAAGCCAACTTTTCTTTTCCAGTAACACTATTTGAAATTCATCAGTTATTATATTTACTATTTACTACATTATTATATTAATATATTTTTTAATTAACTTAAGAAGTACCATTGTATTTGTACTTAACGACCCAAACAGCTACCAGTTATAAGCAGGTCAAAAAACTCGTCTTCAAGCTTGCTTTTTTCCAAGCTACCACGTCATGAATTCGCGTGGCTATCATCGTTCTATACATAAATGGGTTGGCGGAACTTGATTGAGAGAACGAAAGGGAAAACTGAAATAAACAAGATATAAAATGCATTTCTCATGGCATCTGACTGGCAACAGTAACCTGATGAGCATTGTCAACAACCGACACGCTCCTCCAACACTCTTCCTCGGACGGCCGAGGTCTACTTAGAGTAGATTGTTCGTCCTTTTGCATAGTAGCTAAGAACATGGATAAAGCTCTGCGGACAATGCTATTGAACCAAGCTACTCCGCGATGGCGAGTTCCTAGCGCGGCAGTTTCGTTACTGGTGAAGGCGAACGGCGGCCAAATAAGTTCATGTGAAAAATTCGTTCATTAACTTGGCCGTCGCTCGACTCCTGCATCCTTCCTTTCGTTTTCCTCCTATATTGGCCTCTTCTTTCAAACGGGATGTTTATTTCAAGTCCAGTCAATTTTTCCAGCATAGCAACACCACAAACATCGCCGTCGTCTCCACTCGCGTCAGACCCAGAAATGGGTTACGTCGTGGCCACCTTCTTCTGACCTGACAGAGCATTTACGCACTGTACCGCACTACCGCCCGACTTCTGCAAACAAATAGGGACCGATTGCTGTAGCG